TTGCCGGCTGGGCTTGAACCACGACACTAGTACTCTCAGATTAGTAACACTGTGTTTAGGTGGATATAGTGTATTTTACAAGTGGATGCAACCAACTTGTGCCCAATGAACGACACCTTATGAACACTGCTTTCTGTAAATAATCATCCAGGTTGTTTGTTACAGTGGTTTTACTTAGTTTCTTCAATTCTTCTGCAAGATGGACTGCCTACCTTTTATTTTAGGTTTTAAGAATCATTAAGTATCTTTTTGTAATTAAGAATATATGTGTTCCAAATTGTTATGCTAAATATGTGATCAAACAACTTATATTTATGCTCAATTCTAATATGCCTATGAAGAACATAAATTTAGAACAACTATTCTGGAATGTAAGTTTCAGAAAGCTCATACTTGATTAAAACAAGTGGATTAATTTGGAATTAGTACTTTTTTAAACTACTGAACATGACACTAAAGCAAAGAGATACTTTACAATGCAAACAACAAAGATAAAATGTTTACCAGCTCTGCAAAGTCAGCTGCTTCCAGGTCGCTCAGGGCTGTGTCAATCTCCATCTGAAATATTTCAACAGTGCATTTTAACAGAGATTTCCCCTACATGAGCTCACAATAACAGCATGGTGCACGCTGTCCTGCTTAGCCTCAGATTAGAATTCATGAGTACAAAGTGAATGGATGAAAGTTTGCAAAAGTCCTTCTTAAGAGCTGTGTCTTTCCCTCTTGAAGCTGTAACATTTCTCTGCTTGCGTTTTTTCTTCGGTATAAAGGAGATGTCACTCTTACTTTCAGTGTGCTTTAAAACATGAGGGCTAGAGAAAGCTCTGAAATCTGGCAAGCTGTTGTATCCAACCGAGTTATTAGAAAAATCTTTTTCACAATGGATTTGGTTTTTGTCTCTATGGAAATGGCCAAAACTTTCTCACACACTATCTTTGTTCTACTGAAAGCGCTTTAAGCTGGCTTATTTCTCTGAGAGCTGTTGGTTAATAAAGTTTTACTAAAAATACTTTCCTTTAAACAACATGGTACTAGGCACTGAATGAAGTTCCTGACATAAATGTGCTTCAGACTGTGAAAAGAACCTAAAATCCACCATTCCACACTTCTTGGGTTGTATTAACAGGCTGCCTCTAATTGAAATACAGCCAGTTTTCAAACAGAGAAATGTCAGGGAGGCTGCTGGCAGCCGACAACTAACCAGTCTCAGCTTTGCCCCAGTTAAAGTTTAAATGGCCTTCTGTCCAACAAAGAACTGACACTTTTAGTTACATATTTCTTAGAGAATATAAAGATCTTCACCAAAACTTCACTGGAAATTTCATCTTCTGCAATAACAAATTTTTCTGGAAAAAGGGGATGATCTCAGACAAGTTTGGAAAGTGGTATCTGCATCACAAACATCAACTACACTGTTTGAGAAACAACCTGCAAGCTAAACTAGAGGACAAAGTGTAGCAGAGTCTCTCTATAGACACTTGAGAAAAAAGAAGGAAGCACAGAGGAAAATAAAATCTATCACCAAACAGTGCAAGAAAAAAAGGTCATTTTCTGCATAGGACAAAAATGCGTGACAACAGTTTGAGGTGCACTAAGTTGCATTTCAAATGTGTATTAGGTTGCTGACTGGTCATATTCTACAACTATGTGTTGCATAAACATTTTATTCCCTTCATATGGGAATAAGATATTTCAGTTACGGAGCATGATTTTGCAAGTGCGTGGACAGACGTGTTACAGGACTATGTGAGCACCTCTACGTTTGTCACCTGGATAGCGGATTTAGCTCTGGAGTTATGCCATGAAAAGAACTTTTCTGAGACGCTTGCATGTACTTCTGTACATATTTAATAGGCTGTTCATACATACATATTATAAAAGCAGAAGTTTAAAATCATCACAAACACATTGGCCTCAAGCACATTCAAGCATACTATGGGTCAAGGTGGAAAGAACTAAATCATTATCAGTCTGCTACTCAAGGTAAAGGAGAAGACAATCCATACTATGGAGAAAAGAGAGAGAAGACTACACCAGCAAACGGGAATCTGTTTGGTAACAATCAAGCTATGCACCTGTGAGTGCTGTAATGTCCATGGCAACTTACAGTACTGAAGATTAGCAAACCTGAAATAACTCTGCAAATCCTGACAACAGTAAAGTTGAAAGTTCATCCCTTCCCCTCCAAACACACTTCTGAAATCTATACACGAGGTCTTATTAAATGGAAAAATCAGAAAACCAGGGAAGTCCCAGCTAATATTATCCTCAAATAAAGACCCTGTAAATTAAAGAATATGCCCCTGAAGAAGGTAAATCTGAACATCCAAACTGTCCTTTTGCAGAGCCATTTTGAAAAGCACTTTCAATTTTCCACCATACAGCCTCTTTACTTTCAGTTGGTTCAGTGTTCATTTCTTTGGTTGTTGCTGAAGAAATCAGCTTGAATAATGGAGTTTACTGTCAGCTCCGATTAGAATCATTGTCTAATAATTACAGTTAGGCTTAACTATGCTATCTACAAGCTAACAAATGCTTTGGGTCTATCCATGAAGGAAAACTCTTGAGTTTAAAATTTCCCAGCTGTTGCATTTGCACTAAATCATGGGGAATACTCACTAAAAACCCAACTCTACCATGGTAAGACTAACATATTCTAAACATCATTCCACCTTAGGGATTTTTTTTCCCTATGAAATTTTGTGAAAACTGCTATACATGTATTGACCCAAATATAATAAGCAAAGAGCTCTTCAAGTGATATGGAAAATAACTTCCTGGTTGTAGAACTGACAATATTTTAAAATCACAAAGGCAAAAATGAATCCTGGATTCACTAATGTTCAAGAGCACGGAAAATGAAAATGCATTGAATCTTTCTTTGGTCCACTTGAAAAGCTGTACCTCTTCGGTGTCAAACAAATGGTGTATGGATAGTTATTTTGATTCTGTAACAGCCATTTAAATTACAAGTCACACAAGGGCTTCTGGAGTAGTATTTTCTAACTGGAAAAAACCTTAAATGGTCAAAATCAAACGTAAAGCTGCATACCAGGGGCTGCTTTCCCTATGGCATAGGCTGGTTGTTAGAGAGGTACGTGTATATGTATTTTAAATAGAGTTAAATTTGTTGTCATCATGTTCTCTTCCTTGGTAACTAGTCACCAAACTATGCTTGTAACAGCCATCTGTGTCCTGTGAGAATGACTGTGTAGTTCCAAACTGAAATCAAGAAACCTGTAGGAAGAGGAGTGGTCTGGGATGGCCAAAGGGCTTTGGTAAATCACGCACTAACAGCAGAAGATACCTGCATCAATCTGCTGGCCTCTCATATACAAGTTTTCCTAGAAAGCTCTGAAAAAACACATTACCTTGACTTCTTGAGGCAGCGTCAGCCAGCGCAAGCCTGGGAGGCTGTTTAAGAACAACGCACTGCAAGTATCATAGTGTTGAGTGCTGGGGCTGGCATTCGACTTGAGTCTTGCCGGCTGAAGTGCCCGCTGGAAGAACAGGTTGAAAAAATGATCCAGGCGAGAAACATTTTCCACCTGGCAAAAAGCACTGAACAAACATGAACTCCAAGTTAGAATAACAGTGAGAAACTCGTAGCTTGTTTAGATAACCTGCTGCGCTTAAAGAGGCTCTTCACAGCATGATACTACATTTGGATTTGGGGTTTTTTTTAAACACTCATTTTAAACATGAAAAACCCACGAGGCCAATATCCAGGCAGTACCTACCAACAAAGGAAAAGCTAGAGCAGTATAGTATGATAGCAGGTATCTTAGAGCAACTTAAGATGCAACAGTGATCAGTTTCACCCTTTTGGAAATCATTCTTTTTCTTTCTCTGTGGCACACAGATGTTAGCCCTGAATTGAATGCAATCATATGAATAGCCTACCGTGGCCATTTATTTAGGTTACAGTCAGACTGAACGTTTTCTGGGTGTTTTCCAAATGCAGAGACAGACAAGTCACTCTGCCAAATGAGGTTGTGAAGTCTGGTGCATTTACTTTATTAAAAACAAACCACTGACTTATACCTATGTTTTACAGACAGTGCTTTAACACAAAGGGTAACATTGGCAGAGTGCTGCTGACATACAGTGACTTTGATTATGTGAATGATTTAAACTAATCAAGGGCAAAACTTTCTGAATTAACACTGTTTAAAAAGGGCCTTAACATGTGTTAAGACTGAAACAAAAAGGCAAGGAGAATAGAATCCTGGGTTTTGTGCAAGTATAAAGAAACATGCAAAGAAACTCCATGTAAATATTAACACTACTGGTGCTGTCTTCAGTGAGCATCAATGAAAAATTAGTGACTGAAAATGCTTTTGAAAGAACTCACCTGTCTAAAGAACCATACATGAATTTCAAGGTCCTGACAATATCTTCAATCATGTTCCTCAGCTGAGCAAGTGGCACACTAAAAAAAAAACCCAACAACTCAAAAGTACAGCTATGTTTATAGCATCTTTACTGTGAATAAGCACAGGCATCTCCTGAAGAGCTCTATTCTTAACTAATAAGTGCAAACAAAAAATTCTTCATTAGACTCCATGAGAGATTTCCTTTGAGTAACTTGCCTGTGATGACACAGATGGTAGTAAAGCTGGGAGGGGGAGGAAAGTCCTAGAACACATAAATATATACAGTATTACTGCTGTTATTCAGTAGGGTCTAATCAAGACTTGACTTTACCGAACAGTGACAATCACTATTTTCTAGCCTACACCTATATCTGAGAGCTAATGAGACCTTATTCCTTCTAGAGGAAATGAAAAAGAAACTGTAATAATGAATATGTAAAAGATGTCAATAAGGTAAATCAAAAAAGTGGAATCATGGGTATAGAAACTAGTTATAGCACAAAAAGTACACTGTAAGCCCTCCCTTTCTTGCTTTTTTGATAGAAGAGTACAATTCGAGGACACTCTATAGGAAATGAAATAAAATTAAAAGGAAAACAAAGCATCTTATTTGAAACTCACTTTTCTTCAGGAAGGCCAATAACAAGCAACTTGTCAACTTCTTTCCAGTAAACAACTTGAACCAGTTTTTCACATAAGAAAAGGGAGGAACTAGAAAAATTAAAGCAGAAGTACTTCTGTTAAAACTATGAAGCTACAAAATACTACCTTTACAAGCCAGAATGATTTGTATGTATTTTATATGAAGTCTTATGCTCATGTATAATCACATGCATGCAAGTGGGCTAGGGAACTATATTACTAAAGAACTTGAAGTCTCTCTGATTTCTGTTCCAAACAGATCACACCAGTATTAACAATGTTTTCAAGTGTACAAACGTAAAGGATGAACAACCATTACTGAAGAGCCATGGTCATCTTCTGAGTCACTCAGATGCCCTTTAAAGGTCTTTCTGCCTAGCTTTTAACACAATCAGCTTACAAAAGTAAGGTAATTCCAGATCACAGTGAGGCAACCAGAGGTGCTAATGAAGGTTCTGAAGTAGCAGCCACTCATGAAATCATTTAAAAAGACTTCACATTTTGCTAACAAGCCCAGGAGGTATTTGAACATATTACCTGAGTGATAAACATAAGCTTGAACTCTCATGCTATCTCCTTGTATTGAAAATTGCTCCATGAAGCTCAGCAATCCCAGAAAGACCAAGAGAACTTTCATTTGAACCACAGAGTGAATTAGAACATGAAACAGAATTAGACCTCAGGTTCAAATTAGCAGTAAACCATACATTATTCACCAGGTTATCAGATTAAATGTACTGGCTGCTGCTAAAGCCAAGGTCTGTAAAGATGTCGAACACTAAATTTATAGTGAAACCCCACCTTTCTTACTATCACCTTAGAAATTTTAAATAACAACACTGCTGCAAAGTGAAAAAAGGGTAATGAGTTTTAGCTTGCAAGATTCAGGAACTTAGTTTTTAGGATATGGCTCCACGAATAACTTGCTTCACTCACACAGTAAAATTGATGGTACTAAGTAAACCAATAGTGTTATTTCATTACATAAGAAATACCTTAGTATCTCCGCAGGTCACCAAAACATTTCTCTCCTTCATGTCACCAAAGGTGCTTTCCAAACAAATTATATATTTAAAATGCAAGCAACTATGAATAAATAAACATCCCCATCCCAAAAGTTACACAGTGCTTGTGCAGACACAATAATGACCATTTACTCTTCGAAATTTGATTGAAACTGTAGCAGAATTTACAGCCTCCGTACTACAGTGCCACAGTATCCCAGCTTATATAAGGGTGCTTTAAGAGATTTAAGGAAGGATCTAAAACTGATTTCACTGAACTAAAAATCATAGTCATTGCCATCCATGACACAGAAATTCCCCTAAATCAACGTACATCCTGGCTGAGCTGTCCAACTTCAGGCATGCTGTTCTAGTTAAAATATTCCTGCCTAACAGGTAGAGTCTCTCTTATTCTGCCTAGAACCTGATGCATGACTCGCATGTGGTTTTCTATACACGTATGTATAAAACAATAAGAGTAGTAGCACATTACATTTCAAGTACTTTTACCTGATAATCTGGGTACCAGTAACACTTTCCAGTATGTCAGACAGCGTGAGAAATATTCCTCTCACACTTTTCAGTTTTTGGGATGCTTCTGATACAGGGTACTGATAAAGGATTTCTTGCTGTGAAGAAAGTTAGCTGTTAATTAAGCAAACCAAAACCAAAATCACCAAAAGAACCCAACCCAAAACTGAAAAAACCCCAATCAATCAAAAATATTCCCCCACATTTATTGCTTTCTGCCAAACTGTGATGGGCCAGGAATAATGCATGCAGTATTAAGCACATCCAGTGCAAAGAGTACAGTAAATGATCTTTCTACCTGAACAAAAGAAACACAGACATTAACTTTCCCATTGATGTCACTAAGCACATCCAGCCAGTGCCAATACCCGTTAGAAAATTTTCCTCCATCAAGATTAAAAGAATATAAAGTTTAATTACAGAAGGACCTGGCAAACTTTTCATTCTTACCCAATTTAATTAGCTCTATATTCAAATACTCATTAGTAACAAGAATTTTTCTTCTCTTGAATCAATCCCTCAGATGGAAAAAACCCTGCCATTTTCTAATTACAGCACTACAAAGGGCTAGAGTGAGCCTTTTTTTCTCCTCACTATGAAGTGGGGCCTTGACACAAAATTCATTTCCCAGGGAAAGAAAAGACAACTGTAACAGAAGGTCATCGCTGTATCACAGATATACATCAATGAGTTAGCAAGGTTCAGCACGCACCACCATTCAAGATCAACTGTCTTCAAAGCAAGGTGAAAGTTCATAGGACAATGACAATGGAATTAATAAACAAGAAGTATCTCATTTCTTAAAAAAGTATAAACCCTCCCTCTAGCCCAAAAACTCAAACCTGGACAGACTATCTAAAATCATGGCTTATCAAACAGCTTCTCTTTATTTTATCCATTTCTCAAACTGAGCCTAAAGACCATCTTAAAAAACATATTAGTGCAGTGCTGACAACTTCAGAAATGGCTAAAAGAAACTCTGTGAGAATGGTGCTGACCAGCTAAAAGCCTATAACCTTCATACACACTGCACGGACAGGAGAGTCTGTAAGTTCCATCTTATGTACAATTAAAAAGAAACAGTAGATGAAAGGCAACCACGAGTTCTTAAAGATTAATTCAGAAATTACAAAATCGGGGAGAAAAGCTACAGGAAGTACAAGTCAGTGTCTGCATGAACCAAGCTATCTTGGTAGCTACTCACTAATACCTACTTTGCAAGAATGCTAAACGCATGCTCCCAGAGAACACTGTCACACAGGAGGAACAGGAACATTATTCATTTTAAAACATGGCAACACCAAAATGGGTTCAAACACATAAAGATGTTTAGCTTGTATGCTGGTACAAACAACGTACGTTGTAACTGTAATACCTGCCTTGAACTAAAACACAGAAAAAGACAAGATCAGCCATTCTCACTGAAACCATTATCGTATGAGACACTCCCACATCCCAAATTATTTCTAATACTGCTTTTCTTTACAGTTGAGTGGTTACAGCTCACAAGCCTTAGAGCTCATTAACTCTAGTTTTGGGTGCCAAAAGCTAACAAGTGGAAGAATTAGTTACTAGCTTTAGCTGCCATTGCCTACATGGATGTGATCCACAAACCTTGTCTCCCTTGGATATGAGTAAAACAGCTTAGTAAAAGATCATTGTATTTTTATTGTGCAATATGGCACAGATGTATAATAACTGCACTGCTAATTTGAAGTACTGCTGTAAACTGAATCTGGAACACAACATCTACAGGATAAATGTCTGCTGCTGTTCACCAAATAGAATTAAAGACAACTGCCTTAAAGAAGGCAGAATTCTTTTGTTGAGGAATGTTAAAAAAGAGCTTGACTGTACCAGCAAAGCATCTCTCAACATTAGAGACTATTTGGGGCTCCCTAGCTGCCAAGACTTCTCAGGAAACAATTGTTCCATGGTATGAAGGAAGAACAAGTGCATTACAATCCCTCTTTTACCTCTGCTCAACGTTCAGGGTTAATCCTGTTTCTTGGGAGAGTGTAAAGCAATAACGGGGCAAGAAAGCAGGGCTCCTGCTTTCTCTTCCTGCACTTTACTCTGAAGTGCAGGAATTGCAATTAGCCATTTGCATATTTATCACCTACCAAGAGAGGAGCCAGAGGCCCTGAGATATGTATTTTTAATATTTCATAAAGTTCATGTGGCCAAGAAAACACTGGTCTTTAAGTTTACAGCAACCGTCCATAGCTGTTCTAGCCACGTAACATCGCAGTCTTGGACTACACACTTAGAACTGGGGGGAGAAAAGAGAACGATTTGCAATATGTAAGTTCACTTTCACAAAGCATCTCAGGTTTATTTAATTCACAGTTAAGTGAGCTCTTTTCATTTTTATTACAGGGAAACACCAAAGCAGAAAAATACCAGTGTCACATGTTTTAATGGAAGCAGTCTCCAGGTGGGGAAAATTACAGAAGGACCTTGCCTTGTTGCAATGCTGTTAAAATAAGAAGTAGTAATTATGAGAGACGTGTGTAAATTTACATTTGCTGAAGGTACCTCCCATGAAAAAATGTAGTCTCTTAAACAGGATGGGAAAGGACTGCAAACCAAAGCTTACAGTGGAGCATCTTGCTGTAACACAGACTGAAGCATATGCTACCTTAAAAATACCACATTAAGAGCGTGATTTATATTGTAAAATCAAGTCCTCCAAAGTTAGGAAGTATTGGATTTATAGTGGCCTAATAAGCTTTAATTATACACACTCATCTGTCCACCTTGCACAAGACAGGCATTTTTCAGAAGAAATGTAATACTTCATACAACATCATGCTGTGCATGTACAAAAGGGCTGAATTAAAGTTGCACAAGTAGCCATCAATCTGTCATTTCCTAGCTTTCAACCGCTTGATTCTGCAAACTTCACAACAGTTTTTATATGGTATCATGACAGTTTTTTATGACATCATGTAATTTTCTAGGGTTCTCCTCCCCAGCCCCGTCTCTAGAAAATCAAATTAAACTCCATTATGTGCGGTTGGAACATGTTTTCTCTATTACGTAACACCAACAGAGCAATACAGCCTTCTATGGCTTGAAAAATGGTATTAAAAATAAAGAGACATCTCAGAGAGGGGATGGACACTGGCTGGATTTAAGGATTAATTACAGGGGAGTGAAAGGAAAATGTCTTTTTTCTGCTCCCCACTCCATCGCTTTTCCCACCATCCCAGTCCTTGGGGACTGGCAAAACTTGTGCTTCGTTTGATGTCTTCATATCACAGATAATATAAGATCACTAGTGCACTGTGATGAATCTAAGTTGAATTGACAGAAAGGAAGAGGAGGTTTATTCCAAATGTCTGTTCCTAAAAAGTCCACTTTGTCCATTTGTCATTCTCAGCGGGGGTAAGAAGCCAAAGAGCCCTCCACACTGTTCTGTGTCCCTGCATTCTGAATGGAGTATTTGTAGCTATGGCTACATCACGAACAACATCTACACAAAGCCTTACAATGGGTTATACCTACACTGGCAACACTCTTCCGAAGAACACGAAAAGGAGAGAGATGTGAAAGGAAACTTCAGAGGACAAAGGAAAAGTACTCCAGTAACTCAGAAATGTTGCTCAAGCGAGAATCTGTGGTTGGTTGCAAACAGCAGACATAGGAGAGTCCTTTACGAAAAGGCACATTAGCATCTCAAACCAGAATGAGCTAGACAGATTACGGATGTGGCCTGCCAACAGCTCCTGCTGGGGAAAATCCTTTTGATGAGGCAGATTTCATAGTTGGACTTTGAGAGGCATATTGAAAACATCCCAGTGAGCATCTACAAGACAATCGTAACCTTCCTGATCGATCTCTGTTTTGCCTGTTAACACCTCTAGCCTGCTCTTTATGTAAAGACATTCAGGACCAGAGAAATTTCAAATCCAGAGTTTGTCAGCAGCGATGCTAATTCTGCCCGCCTCCCCTCCCCTCCCCTGAATTTCAGGCCTTATTTTGTCAAAATGGATACTTTATAGACTATTCATGACTCAAAATGATCAGCAAGATTTATGTTTTATTTAATATCAAAAGATGTTGCTGTTGTCAGCTGTTACCTTTCATCTTCAGTTTCATTTAGCTGGCCACGTACCTCATCCTTAGATGTTTCAGAGTCCAGTTTCAGTGTGAGGAACATAACAATATGGGGCACGTCTTGCAGAGCCTGTTGATGGTTCATGCTGTCTTCTCCCCACAAAAGCCGAACCAGGTTGTTCATACTTGACTGTGCCCGTTTATACCTTTGCTGGGAAGTTTCTTCAGGCTCGAATATTGACGTTTCAAATGTAAGTTTAACCTATTAAGATAATTAATTATTGTGAAAATGAGGCTGTTACAATTACGTTCTACTCCCAGATGGAATAAACACAACTTGAGCCCTTTTCTGAGCCTTACTGACAAAGATGTAAGCATTTTGCTGTTTCAAGAAAACCAGTTCAATGCTCAGCATTACAGAACCACCTATTATTAAGAAGAAAGGCAGTTATTACATGTTCTATGAACCATATGAGTAAGCATGTGGTTTGGTGTGTTTTCATACTTCATTCTTATGGGTTTGAGAATGGAAAAATATACTTGCTGCTCTGGGGTTGGTTTGAACACAAAACCTATTGCCATGCTCTGGAAACACACACGATATTTTACTTCTTTCAGAATGTCAGCGCTTTGAAGTATTTATCCTCAAGGCTCTTTCATGAGCATTTCTTTGCTATTTAAGTGCACTGACAGGTACATTTGCACAGGAAAATCAATTTACATTAGACTGGAAAGGTCTGTTAATTTGTAGCACTCAGCAGCAATTCTTTCAATGTGCCAACATTTCACTACATTAACTTTAACTGTAAAGTCAGCAAACAAGAGTTTTGCTGCCATATTTAACAATTGTACACCACTAGCAAGAAGCATAAAAATTACTTACACCACGTGCTGCACTGTCTTCAGAAGAAGAAAAAAACCCCAAAGCACAGAGAATTCGCTCTTAAAAAATAACTGAAAGTTTCGATGCTCAAGCTTACTTTGTCAAAAAATTACATTGTTCAGTGTTCTTTATTTCCCAAATCAAGTGAACACCGGGAATTTTAGAGTAAGTGCCTATTTCCTGGGTCACAAGCAACACAACATCCAAACTTGGTGTGGAAATTTACTTTACAGACCTCCTTTTTATGAGCACTGCCTTACAAAAACTATGTGTTTCAGCAGTGATGAAATAAAAAGAGTAATTTTTTTGTGTGTGTGTGTGTGTGTGTGTGTGAATGAACATTTCATCTTAAGTATGAAAGAAGGATTTGTGAGAAATACCTTGCTCTTGACTGAGCATAAAATTGTAATTTTTGGGAAGAATAAATTGATTTATTTTCTTGGATGATACCTTAGTTTTTGTCATTGCTCAAAGTGAATAAAAATGTATCTATTTGGACTAAGCAGGCACACTCTCATAGTTTCCTCTTTCATATGTCCTTACTCAAGATTTTTGTCTGCCTTAAAGTATCCTTAACATGCCTATTGACTGGGAAGTTATAAACATAATACATCACACTAAATCCTGCTTCGCTTCAAAGTTGGTGACAGCCTAGCCTAATGATTGATGCAACAAAAAAGGTTTATATTTTCCCAGTTGCAGTGAATTTGAAAAGCCCAGGCAGAGGTAATTTATACATTTAAATACAGACAATTTACATTTTTGTAACTGTGTATACACATACTTAAAGAGAGGAGTGCCAGCAAGAAATAATGATGCTTTAAAACACCCACTGCCTGTCAAACTAGATCAGAGAGAAGTGCCATCATCAGCTCTTCCAGCTACAACATTTACGGCATCGGCTGCTGCCTTCCCACTTCACTCTACTCCCTCCTAACACGTCTCATTAATCTTTTCTTCTCTCATTTTGGCTATCAGCTTGTTCCTCTTTTTTCTTCCCGTTCCTTGTAACAGCACTGCATTCAATCCTTCTCTCATGCCATGTGCTATCACTTTCTTCTCTGACAGTAACTCATCCCTTGCTTCCCTCTCATCATTTCAGTTTTGATTCATTATACTGCATATGAACAGGCCTCAAGGAGCAGAAACACCCAGCTAAAAGCAGTGGCTTTATAAGACCCAGTAACTTGATCACTCCCAGTTTTATAGGTGTATGTTTTCTTCTCTGGCATTCAGTGACTCAGTTCTCTTTCTTTATCACGCCATCTGCATGTATTTCGGAGGATTTTCCTCATACCCTGTGTAACTTCTTGCAGATTTCCTCAAGGCTCAATAGTTATTTCTCTTAACTTCTACATCTTGTCTGTGGACACTTATTCACAACACTTAGGCTACAGTCTCTACGCTAATGATGCACAGATGTAATTCTTGCTGCAGTCTATCTTTGAGTGCCTTGATTAAAAATAAAGCAACCCAAACTGAGTCTGTCTTGTCGTAGAGACGCAACCAGATGGCTGTCCAAGCAAGAGCTCAAAACAGATCAGGACAATCAGAACGTTAACTCTTCCTCCTCCTGCAGGCATCCATGCTGCCTCCCACACCTGCGTGGACAATGCTGCCCCACTCAGATGGGAAGTCACTGTGTTTTGAGAAAGATCTCTCCCCACAATTTGACCAGGTCGTTCCCAAACCTTGATTCTAACAGCTTGAAACATGATGTTTTCTGTTCCTCTGTACTACTGTCCAAGTTCTAACCTATTTCCTGCCTTTAAAAAAAAATACTGCAAAAAAATCCAACATCTAAGCTGGAAAATGCTGCAATAGGAGATTATCAAGAGACTACGTTTCTACATACCCCAACACCACCATTCCCTTTTTTTTTGGTGGAGGAGATATCAATCTTCACCCTCGGCAGTACACAGGCTCTGATAAAATATGACTACTAAAGCATCCTTCTGTAAATGCTGATGATGAAGTCTTTCACAGCTTTCATTCCATTTCTCCTAAAGAAAACCAATCCAATGCACAGCAGAAAACAGAAAAGGAAAGGAAATGAAGAAAGGGAGAAGCACAAAAACCATTAGTGTTCTCACCTATATAGCACGCACACCAGGAAATTTGAACAGTTGTAAAAAAGAACTTAAACTGCAAGAAGGCACTGATGAAGGGACAGCAACAGCAAACTATGAGGTACATGGATGGGAACTGTTCTGCTCAGGAAAGATGCAAGAGAAGCAGCAGGTGACAGAGCTCTCTGTAGTCAAGGAATGATACACGGACAGTTAACTACTCCTCATAATGCAGGAACCTGGGGGTATGAAATGCACTTCATTAGATGGCAGTTTGAAAAACAAGGAAAACAGATGTAACACAAATCAGGTCTGTAAATCACTGCTACAGGATGCTGTGGAGGTGAAAGGAATTTTAAGAACTGGATTAAAAAAGGAGAAGGTACAAACTTGTATGTGATCCGACAAGTCCCTAACTACTGACTGCTGGAAGCTGGAAAAGTAGGATGGGAAGGTCACTGTATTTAATTTCATAGAATCACGGACTGGTTTGGGTTGAAGGGACCTTAAAGCTCATCCAGTTCCAACCCCTGCCCCGGGCAGGGACACCTTCCACTAGAGCAGGTTGCTCCAAGCCCCTGTGTCCAACCTGGCCTTGAACACTGCCAGGGATGGGGCAGCCACAGCTTCTCTGGGCACCCTGTGCCAGCGCCTCAGCACCCTCACAGGGAAGAATTTCTTCTTAATGTCTAACCTAAATCTCCCTTCTTCCAGTTTAAAGCCATTCCCCCTTGTCCTGTCACTACATGCCTCTCCATCACCCTTGTGGGCCTCATTTAGGTACTGCAAGGCTGCTACGATTGGTTTCTTAATGCTTTTTACTTAAACATTTGTCAGTGTAAGAAACAGGAGATGTAGCTGTGACGCCACTGGTCTGACACCGAAAGGCATACTTTCTGTTTATCAGCAAGAAAGCTGTATGTCTTAGAATATGGATTTTATTATAGCCAGAGCTGGTGGCATTGCCTGCCTTTTAAGATTGCCTGCCATTTCCTGAGTAAGTCTCTGTTTTCCATATGCTTATGGTTTGCACAACTGTAACTCAAAATTTCAAGCTGAAATTTCTGATTCTCAATGTCTGCCTCAGGCTGAATATTTCTTTAGAAAGTTTTGGGTAAAACGGTTCTGCAACTTCCAAGTGTCAGGGTAAGGAAAAGTATATTCTTTTAGAATATCTTCCCCTTCCTATTCTGTCTTCTCTGTCTTGTGGTGTTAGGAAACGGCAGCTATTTTGATTACAGAAATCTGAAATTGTACAGACTGCTGCGTAGCACTTTATCTTACATGCCTAGAAGCTCGTTTACCTAAACTGAGGTAAGGTTAACAATATTCTGCAAATATAATTATCAGAGATGTTATGCCACATACTGCAACTGAAAGAATCTAAGCAGTCAGTTTCTGAAATTACTTCCAGTAGTTTTTAATACTGAGCCCAGAAAAGTACTGACTTCACTTACGTAAATAACTTATAAATACAGTAAAACTGCTTTAAACTGCATCTTCTTTGATATTTTGCAACATGTGATGAATGAGAATACATTAACAATTTTGCTTGTATAAAGGCCATATTTATTACTAATGCTCAGAAACAACAACCCACTCTTTCTTCAGCAGCACAACAGTGTTCTACACTGCAAAACTCCCCCAGAGCTCTGTATTTAAGTTCTCCACTGGTCTATTTCAGCAATCACTCTCCTGGCTTGACTCAAACTGCGTAGTAAAAAAAGAGTAATTGCACTTTAATAAAAGGTTTTGGAAAGCCAGCATGACAAAGAGTTATACATTTCAAGTAATCGCTGTCTACTTGACAGATTTACTGACAATGTAAACATCAATGCTGCATTAAGAGTAACTACTATATAAAGGGTTGCACTGCATTTTAGCACCAAGTAATAGGTATACTCTAATCTAGCAAGGATACAATTACATGAACTATATAACCTCTGCTTTTTTAATCATTCTGTATTTAATAGTAGTTACAGCAACTCCATATTTGGTCAAAGACAGGCAAGACAAGGTTTTTCTACCATGGAGCTCTGCCAATACCTGACCACAACTCTGGTAGCTTAGGCAAGCTTCGTACTGTCAAACATCTTGGAAAGCTTCCTGACCTGACATACTAATAACCGTACTGCAGTTGCAGATGTAGTTCTACTGGCACTACATAAGTTGTGAACAGAAGCATGTTTAACAAAACTTGTTATCATGTCTGGAAAGTAAAAGATTTCTATTATTACCATCACCCCATATATTCTACCCTAAATAAAAACTACCAAGAAGTTACAGGCATACTGCAAGAGACACGACAATTTTAACCTGCTCCATCTCCTAAATTGCAAATTTTACTTTGCCTTCCTTAAATCCAGGAAGTGGATTTAAGCAGAATAAGTCAAAATACTTCATTTTATGCTACTAACATCCAAGGTAATTAATACTCTCCTGGTTTAATTCTGAACTAGCTATCTAATCCTTTATTACTCAATTCTTCTTTATAGCTCCAATTCAGCTAGAAGAAAAGATGTGTGCAGAAGGTTTAAGGGCAAAGGGACATTATTCATCAGGTCAGGTTTTGGGGTTTTTTTCTTATCAATTTGTAATCCTGAGTTCTATCAATCTTCATCGCTGTTAAGTTTTGAAAAGACCTTAAGAGTATTTAATCTAAAAGCTCTTTAAATATCCAAGAATTTACTTTTCTACTTAAATATGAAACCAGTATTAGTTTTTCCATTTAAATGCTCTTAAATATCTTTAATACCACTACTTATTAATTCAGGCTTCATTTTACTCTCCTGTGGTCTGTAAGCCTCTTTTATATTGATGATGAGATAATTATTTTATTAAGTATTTTCATACTAAAAGCCACTATTATCCTGCAGTTCACATTTTTAAGCTAGACATGAGTATGTTGCTTCAGGTGCGCTACTGCCAGAGTTCACATCTCGAGCCCTATTTATTACCCACCAGGAACAAGACATCACAGTATTAGATAACCTTGTCCTTCTTTTGCTGAGAGCAGAGTGTTCAAGAGAACAACTCTCAAAGCAACCATTCTTGCCATCTTTACCCAGAACTCCAACCATCACCGGTTAAAAGTTTGTACAGGTTTCAAAGGAGTTACTTCCTTGTATTCAACAAGAAGTAATTAATTTTGATGCAAATGGCAATGTAACAATCAAGCTGTTTTCTGAGCAGGAAAAGTAACAAAACTTGATTTTTCACATATGTATGTACTAGTTCTCACAGAGAAACACAAATACTCCGAATTCTGCAAGCACAGAAACCCTCGATACTCTCACTGGGCAAAAAGTCAGGTGTTATGGTTAGTCTAAACCTGCAAGTATGCTGTTACCTCCTGCACAATGTTGCCATGTGCTTTCTGACCCTGGCTGATGACAGAGCATGTAACTGCTGGACTATGCCTGATGTCTCTTAATGGGACACTGGCTTGAGACACTTACTTGCACCCATCTATTCTTCACAAAACTTACCAGAATGAAACTCTGAAATTTCTACTCTAAGTGTGACTGAAGTCAACTAATGTGTTGAAAGAGTGGATGAAGAAGTTCTAAGAAAAAGACCACCTAAATTCTGCTTCCTAAGGAAAAAAGGCTGGAAACAATATCAATTTTTATGGAGGACAACTGGAGTAAATGTTCAATTACTGTACCTGCATAGGACCTGGAATGCAAGAGAGAACCCTTTCTATGTTTTCAGAATTCACATCAACATCATTTACAGCAACTAGCGCATCTCCTGGAGATAAAACAGACAAAAAGCATGAAAAAATTAGTTGGTATTATGCAATCAAAGCCAAGTGTTTTGTCTTAAAAATATGACATTCAAACTACCATAAATGGCCTTTTGTTACATGTAGATGGTTTCTATGTGAAACATTTAGTATGTTTAGAAACATCAGTCTATTACCTCAACGCTTTTAAGGCCTTACTACCATGCTAGTATCACTTTACAAGAGTAATTGTCAAAGCCTCCCCCCTCCACCCAGGCTTTTATCACTCTTGTCACTTGATCAGAAAGTGAACAACTTCACCCATCAAGTTATGTCCAAGATCTACTTTTTTCTCCTTCAAAACCACCCCTGTTTACTTGCCACTCCTTCTCCACTGCTACCTCCGCTCAAACACTACTGTTTCCAAAAGCACACCAAAACTCACTCCTTCCTGTAGCAGCTTAAAAGTTCTAGGCCACCACTAATGGAATTAATAGTATATTAATTCTCAGGAAGGTAGCCAAGAAACACTACATGAGAAAAAGACAAACACAATACCTGGATGCACTAGGTATTGCTTTTGCATTTCCTTTGGATTTATGCAAGTATAAGACCTGAGAGAATCTCATCCAGAGTATTCCTTACAGTTCTATTCACCTGTTCTCAATAAAGTGCAAACACATGTGATTATATACATGGAAGTAATACCGCTGTGACCAAGGAAATGGAGAAGCCATATATGTTGGTTAAAGATGGGGTGAGTAAAGGCTAGCTGCAGAAGCGGCTAAAGTAAGAAGCAGAAGGTTCTGTAGTCTCAAGACAGAGTATTTCTCCAGCTATCTGGGACTAAATACCTAAGACTTTAAGCCTTGACTTGGCAACAAAAATGTGCTCAACTGCAGAAATAAAGCACAGAACAATTGTAAGGTTCAGTATGTATTTCAGGTCTTCTTAGGAGAAGACTTGCTCAGCTCAGACGAACTCAGGGATGATAATGACATGCACACTAAGGAAAAGCAGAATCCCTGTCTCTGCGGCCTCTCAATTGCCTGAGAATCCCATAAAGACAATGGAATCTGAAAGTTCAGAAGAATTCTGACCATTTATGAGTATTCCCATCTTCTACCTTGTTAAATACCACCAAATACAACTGGAATTCTTCCCAGGTACCAGGTTGATTCCTCAAAACTGATGCAAATCACAAGGCCAGTGAGAGAAGGAACATTCTTCTTGACTAAACATCACTAAAAAAAAAGCAGAATCCTCTCCCCCCCCAAATGCAAGCAACAAGCCTCTTTAATATACCAGGTAACAACCAACTGCTCACAGGTATTCTACATTGAAGGAAAATTCATTCCTATCTTTCTTACTGCAAAATGGTTAAGTCTTATCACACACACACAAATGTTATCACCCCTTGGAATTAACTGCTTTTTTCCATTTCAAGTATTAGTAGCTCTCTGCCGAACCTCTGCATTCCTTGATGCACAGCAAAGTTCCAGCCTATCAAATCTTCAACACAACAGTAATTCAAAGACAGGAAAACTGAAAGTTAACCAGCATTTAAAAGCAACTCAGTAAGTCCATGCCAGAGGCCTAGGACTTGAAAAGCAGTAATCAAAAGCAGAGCATTCAGGCTACTCTAATACAAAGAGAAATTATAAACAGAATTACTGTGTCCTTTGTTGAAGAACATTGTATTAAAGATTATCATTCACAACTACCAGAGAAAGCTTAAATTGCTCTTGTACTCATCTGGAGCACTGTTTAAACAAAAGTGGCTTGTGCTCTGTTTGCTTCACTAGAGACCTTACCAATTCTGTTGTAAAGACAACACTCATCTAATTCTCAAAGCCATTCAAAGGAGCTGCACGCATCCTGTGAACAAACGTGCACCTTGGCACTTAGGGAAATGTTTTTGAACTGCATCTCCTAGGGTGGATTATAGAAGGACACTTTGAAAGGAACCTGTATTTACATGTTATATACCCAAAGTGTTTTATTGACTCAATGCCTAATGTACCCATGTAAAACTTGAATTGCAGCTGTAAATATTTATATTCCCTTCAATTTGTAAAAATGTAATCGTGTATCATAAATGGAACAGCTTTCCCGAGACACAGTGACACTTTTTTCCCAAGCTGAAGCAGGGCTGTAAGGCTGCCTTCAGTTTGCCAGAAAATCATAGAATGGTTTGGGTTGGAAAGGACCTTAAGATCATCTAGTTCCAATCCCCCTGCCATGAGCAGGGACACCTCATACTAAACCATGTCACCCAAGGCTGTGGCCAACCTGGCCTTGAATACCACCAGGGATGGAGCATTCACAACTTCCTTGGGTAACCCATTCCAGTGCCTCACCACCCTCACTGTGAAGAACTTCTTCCTTATATCTAACCTGAACTTCCCCTGTTTAAGTTTGAACCTGTTACTCCTTGTCCTTTCACTACAGTCCCTAATGAAGAGACTGTCTCCAGCATCCTTGTAGGCCCCCTTCATGTACTGGAAGAAAATGCTGTATCACTACTAAGGAACTACAACTTGATGTACAATTGAGACAATGTACTCTATTTACCAGTTCAGACATCCCAGAATTGGAGGTGGGAGGTGGTGGTGGGGTGCCTATGTGTGTCTGTGTTTTTTTCTTCTTTATTTTTTGCCAAACCCCAGAGCATTCAAATACTCCAGACTATTAAGTAACAGAATGAAAGGCATCACTGACACAACAGGAAGTATGTGAATGATGAACACAGAATATCTGAAAGCAGAACATGACCACAGGATCTGCCCAGTGTGATAATTAACGCCAGTGAGAGTTTAAATGTGCAAGTGTTCTTTCGTTAAGAGTTTCACATGTACACTTGCTTTGAGAATTGCCTCCTCCCGTTTAGCAGTGTGAAAAGCTTATAGAAAGTGAGACTGACTTAGGTCTTCGGACATGAAGTCTGTAAAAAGAGTAGCACAGATGTGTAAATTTTAATCTAATCTCACTTAATGCTTAATCAATTTCAGTTAAATAACGTAAGAAAGTAAATAGTGTTTGCAATTGTTGATCTGTCTTGATGGTTTGCAGAGTTAAGCCCAACTTTCCTAGACTAAAACGTTACTGAATTTCAGATGTAGAGACACATTTCACTAGTGGAGAAAAAAAAGTTGTACAGATGGTGCTGCTAATACATTTTTCAATCATTTTTGTGCTCTATGGGTGGGTGAAAAGCCCCCTTCAACTGACTTTCCTTAAGTAGGGACATCAAAGTGAACTTCTTTTTGCTGAACTAGACATGTATACTGACATAGACAAGAAGCAGACATTTGTATAAAATGTCATTTTCAAACATGATATAAAATAACGTATTTTTTTTTTCTTTAGCTTTTTTCAGCAATACAGTTGTATACAAAAATCTGACTGTATAATACTGTATAAAATAGCACTTGACCTGCTGCTACAAGCAACAAGATCACTATTTTCGGTCAGGAAAGTCACCAGCATATATGTTAAAAGGTGAAGAAAATTAGAACAAAGTCTCACTCAGTTCCACCTTTAGAAACACAGTGAGCAACAGCAATAGAGGAAATAAATTTTCTTCAGGGAGCTCCAGGATATCAGACCTTGAGTCAATAGATTTATCTTTAGAAAAATACATGTCCTTCTCTTTAGGCAATATAGTATGCTTTTTTTCTTCTGAATCCCATAATAATGAATAATCAGGCTTTGGAGTTCTATTACTTATTATAAGAAGATTTTCAGCCCACAAAGAGACTGTAAGATGTCCTTATATGTTCTCCACACAATGCCAAGCAGAACTGTGTTTTACTAGACTGATGGAACAGAGAGAGGAGAGGCAGGAGGTGCTTCCTATTTTCTTTGCTGTCTTTCCATCTTTTCATTAGAAAAGACTTGTCCCATCCACACAGTAGTAGTTAAGAACAGCGTCTATTGGTCTCAAACACCTAGTCTGCACGCAGCTGATGAAATTACTCCTTTGTTCTTTTTTAAAGACAAAGTTTAGGAAGTCTGTGGGACTGCTGGCATCCCCAAAATGCTTATTTCAGAACTGCCTGTCACTTCACCACGAGGCACAGGACTATTACTTTTGTTAAATATCCATACCCTAAAGATAAACCTACAAACACCACTTCTAAAAGTAGATCCTCTTTGCATTAAGCCAGGGGACGCTGCCTGATAAGTAAATACCACTTCCACACTGGGAGATGACCAAGGACACTTTTTTCATGAAGTCCTGATACTTGGTTTCCTCTGTTCTTGGCAATGACGTGGTGGAAGTACTTGCAAATGTTCACATACTCCTTTCCAAAAAAGGCAAAGTATGGAACGCATTCTGCTGAAGAAAGCCAGATCAATTACTTGCTTTATATGTTAACAGGCTGCTTTTACCCAAACCAATGCTGTTACGCTTCAAGAGGAGATTAAAAGAACATAAACGACATCCCAAACTCCACAGTGAGAACACAGCAAAGCTTAAGCAAACTCTGCATTTCTCACTCGCGTGCCCAACATCTCTACTTTGGAGAGCTTTTTCAACAAGTACACCATATATGGCAATTCCTCATGAAAATCTCAAACTCTCACAATAATTTGGTATTTTCAAGGATGTGGACAGAACTCTTAGTTCCATGGTCTGCAAAGGACAAACCCAGCATTTACTTTGACTGTTGGAAGATGACTGAGAGATGCTTAATTTTTTTAATTGATTACTGTTTTAATCCACTGGTCTATGCTATAGAAACATAATCTATCTACTTGGCTTTCTAGCAGTGATGGCCTTGTTTACCAGAACTTCAAAACTCCAATGGCAATATCTGTTTTTACTATTGAAATGAGCAAAGTTTACTATTGAAACCTTTTACTCAGGGAAGACAAACAAATAACCCTCCCACATAATACTCCACGCTGGATTAGAAACCCACAGAAAACCACTTGTCATTAAATCAATTAATCAATCATTAAATCAATTAATCAATCATTAATCATATTCTATGATTCTATGAAATGAGGCTGGGATTGGACCTTTCAACTGAAGCTCACAACAGCCTGCATCTCTGGCATACTTATTCTGAACTGGATTATTTCAGCCCATCTTTACAGCCATCCAAGATGACTCCCTATCCCTGGGTAGTTTTCACTTTTTTGGCTAGCATTCCTACTGATCAGGTGAGAGAATTCATGCCAACTGTTCAGATACTCGGTGATGAGAGCAGTAAGAGCAGAAGATAACTTCGAAGACGGCAACACCACAATGCTCTGCTAGAGAAAAGAGCTTGCCTGTATTTTCAGTGTCACTGGAATTACTTTTTCAGTTGTACTATAGTAAAGATGATGATCAGCAACATTTAAAAGTACCCCTTGCTGTGAATGGGATCCATTTCAATTTGAAGGGGGAGGAGAGAGGGAAAAGTTGTAACGGCATTTCCTATCACAATCCTTATTTGCCTGGACCTGAAAGTTATTACTTAGTGGAACTTTTTATCTTTGAAGATACGCTTGAAGATGAGACTTCAGATTTTTATATAGCAGACCAAGCTTTGCATATTGTTAATAATGAACTCCAGCAAGAAAAAAGTTTTGCCAAAAATACAGAAGACACTTAAATACCATGAGAGAAAAGCAACTGTATTTCGTCTTAACCAAAATTAAAGTGACAGCATGGACTCAAAAATCAAGGAGGGCCTTTTAGTTTTGAAAATTTAAGATGGATACTGAACTGCTAAATATAGGGGGGAGGGGGAAGGAAAAGGAGCTGATAAACACCACATGGATAGCACAGATAGAGTGGCATCTTTTTAGAGAGCTACAAATCGGCAGGGGTTTTTTTTTAGCCTGCAAAACTGTTGTATTTACTTTCATATGGTCAGTGCCTGCATTCTACTTGTTTAATGAATTACAGCAACAAGGCTTACAACTTCCATATGCAACCTTAAAAAAAATTAAAGTGTAGTGCACAAATAATAAACAGATGTTTGAAGTGTTCAAAGCTATAAGGGATACACATTCCAGAATAAATTGAAGAAGCCACCTGAGGAAAGTGATTAGTTTGGGGCGGGGGGGGGAAGCAATTATTTTTACTAAAAAATGTTGAAGCAATAACCACTTTGCACTGGTTATTCAGAATGAAGAAACATGAAGAGATTTTAGTCTCCCTTACAATTCAACCCTGGTAGCCATTTAAGCGGCTACCATTCTTATCACTTGCAAATTAACTAATTTGCCACTGAAAATACAACGTAATCAGGAACTTGGTTATTATTTAACATATAACAAACCCAAGTCTTGGGAAAAACAATTTGGAGAGCCCAAATTTTAAATAAGACAGGAGAATTAGAACACTCAGTTGGGTGTAACTGGCAGTTTTGGTAGCAGGGTGCTGCAGGAGGGACCCGCATGGCAGGTCATGAGCTGCCTTGTGCTGCTCACAGTCAAGTCTGAAGGTGGTGTAAGCAACTCACCGTGTACCAAAACATCCCCTAGTCAGGGGAGCCATGGCACCTCTGCCCAAAGGCATTTAAGAAAGAACAGCAGCCACTGGATGAGGGGTTGTAGCCCACGGAGAGGACCTATACTTGAAGGGCAAGGGTAGGCTGAGCCTGCAGGGAAAGGGGAGTTGAAGCTGATCCTAGAGAAGGCAGCGAAAGAGGCATGTTTTTAATGTGTTCGGGGTCTTGTTTTCATCTTCTCGATACCTGAAACAGTGAAGTTTCATATTAATTGGCAAAAAGATAAACTCTGTAACAACTCTTGAGCCCAGATCGTTGGCCTGCAGTGCGTACTGCGAACTGGTCACGGGAACACTGAGACATGTCACTGTAAATCATGGCTTTTAAAAGGAAAATACACTTAGCGTTTGCTTCACAAAGGACTACTGCAAAAAAAATGCTCTGCATCATTGAAGATTATTAAAATACAAACCAAGAACACATTAATATCTATGCATATGCAGGTCAATGAGGATGAACAATGTTATAACCAAACCAGCCAGCAGGCATCATGCTGTACTGATCAGGTGTTCCTCATCTGTGATGGCTCAAAAGCTGCTAACTTTTGTGCAAACAGTTCTGTGTTAGAGTGACCACAGAAATATTCAGGATTGGATTCCTAAAACTTACTTTTATCAACAAGCAAATTTCTACTGTATTTTTCTTGAACCTTCTGTTCAAATTCAGCTCCTGTGAGGATGCGAGGAAGCTATCCATTGAACTACAGCTGCTCCTACATTAGGCTCTGGGTGTACACTGTAGCTATCCTGCCCTCTGATGTGCAGTGCAGCAGCAGTAAACCAGGGTTTTTTTACAGGAACAGATTTATTTTTTTAACTGGATATTCTTTATGCAGACAGCACTGAAACCTGAGCATCCAATTTATGCAAAGCATCCCTATTTCTAGACACCACATAAAAATTCCAGAGTACTCAGTGTTCGCTATAGATATATAAAGTATTTTTATATGAAAATTATACATTTTATACTGTTGGCACAAAATACAGCTAACTTTCTCGGTTAAAAGATGAATAACTAGATTTGTTTCCAACGTGCAAAACCAAGGCACTGTAAGTCAATGATAGCCTAGGACATATTAATCTGCTAGACTCTTTAGATTAATTTAAATGTTCTTCTATTTAAAATAAACAAAGAACCCCACAGTTTTTGTCCTCACTAGCTCCAGGAAGCACTAAGTGCTGTAGCTGAAGAACCATTTAGAACTTTAGCTTTATCTCCTGGATCTGGTATTTGCCTACACTGTTCTGACTTCACACTTCCTCTTACAAACATGCAGTTATACACGGATTTGTGTCCCAAAATTAACTTACAGGTTATAAATAAATTCCCACTCTTGCACCAATCAGATTAAATACCATAAACAGATCAAGATGACACTCCCCCCCTCCTCCCCCTCAGTCTGCATCCCCCACGTTTTGACTAATCAGTTCTTTCTGGTAAAATTTGAAAGTTATCCAATTTTCCCTCTGGAGTATTCTTTTGCATCCCTACCAAAAACACGTGCTAGAAGAATCAGCTACTCAAAGCACGATTTGCCTTTTTACACACACAACATTGGAATTTCAAAAGCAGTCATGCTGACTTTGTGGGATTTATGCTACTATGGTATTAAGATTTTCATGATCTTCTAACCAACATCACATCTTTGCTCTCCCTCTGAGGGACCAAATTCAAGGGTAATTAAATAACCCTTCACCCTTTACAGATGTGGGCTAGCTGTCTCACATTTACCATCCCTGAGGTTGAGGTTGGGGTCTTGTGAGTGCCAAGTCCCTCTAATGGCCTCTTAGTACTGGAAGCAGGAGTACTCCTGCTCCTTCACTACCAGCCAGCCACAGGAGTTCATTCCTGTCCATTATTCACACTTGGGCGCTTGTCAGACCTTCTGGGACCCACGTTTAACTTACTACACCAGCAAAAACTGGACAGGCAGTTTTTCTTCTGGGTTAGTTTTCTGCCAGGTTATTTAGTTGCATCAGCTCATGGAAGTGTCTGATGAGCCAAACCAACATAGAGGACAGCTGCTGCACTGGCTCACTGCCTCCTCAGACTGCAGCCCCACTAGGTATTTGAAGGCTGCCTGATCACAACTGCTGAAGAAGCAGCTTTTACACTTGCCAAACAGAAGAACATCCAACCAAGGCAGTTCAGAAAGTCTGTAATGTGAATATATCTTACTTAGTATTTTTTCCTTATTTTTATAGTAGAAAACCCACTTAAAGCATATACAGTAATATACAGTAAAGCTTTTTATTTAAGGGGGATGGTGTGGGAAAGAATGAAAACAAGATACAGTATTTGGAAAACTACAGCTTTTCTCTAGTCCCGCTTACCCACTGAGCAAATTCTGCATTAAAGGTGGTGCTGGTGGGGAGGTATTTGTTGCTCCAAGTTCAAGCTGCTCACTCTCTGTACACTTATAAGCACAGTCATACTACAGTAACACCTTCTAGTTTCTGTCACATTTTTAAAACCACCTAATAATAGTAAAATTGAATACGTAACAACACATCAGATGCAATGACATTGATTTGAAATAATTCCTCAAAACTGCCAGAATATTTGTAATTAATTGCTTGCGTCTCAGGAATATCCAGGTCAGCTACCTCAAAAACCAAACCCAACCAAAACCCCCAAATCTTCATTTTAAAGGAAGAGTGCAGAAGTTAACTACTCATTCAATTACTTACCAATCAAGATTTGACCTGTTTTCATTGCTGAACTACCTGGCACCAATCCATGTACTACAAGCCTCTCTTCACTGATTCCTCTGGTGACTTTATCCTTCTTGCCTTGTTTTTCCGCTCTTCTGCTGCTCCACAAAGACTGATGAACAATCCCGACTAAGGCCTCCAACAGCCTGTACTGCTCATTTTCTCCAGCACTCTGCAGTTTTCTGGGGTTTACATAAACGTACACGTCTTTGTATTTTTGCTGAACAGTGACACCCATTTTCTGACCAGATTGGTGTTTCAAGATGGAAGTAGGACCAGTGGGATGCACGTTGCAGCTTTCACTGCCTTTCTTACCAGAATGCTTTGGTAAAAGATTCTTCTTTTTTAACATTTTGGTCAATTTCTTCAGCTCATACTTCCTTTCTTTTCGTGGTCCTTCTTGAATAACTTCAGCTTCATTTTCACGAAACCTGACGTGATTCACTGTTGGCATTTCTGGACAGCTGTTCTGAAGCAGAGTTTCTTCTTCGCTTTCACTCAATTCTAAATAAAATAATTCCCCATTTTTCTGCACACCATCCAACCATTCAGGCTCAAGGTCACTGGGAAAGAAAGGAAAACGATCAGTGACACCTCTGATAAGCAAGACTGCTATGCAGAACATGGAGAGTGAAAGAAAAATATAAAGAGGAAAAAAGTTGCCCCCTGAATATTGAAGGCTTAAATGCTTTAAGCTTGCCATCAGGGCAAGAGCTCTTCTTGGACAAACGATGGATACAGCAAGGAAATCATCCCTCACAGATGTTAAAATAGGTTCTTCAAATGTCTTAAAGGAAAACAGCCATTGAAGAAAGCAACAGTCCCTTTTCTGAAAACAAACAAACAAAATCCGAACCCCAAACCATTTCTTTCACATTTAAGTTTTAATTACTAATTACATTCATGGGCAGGATGGGGCTTTCTCTTAGAGAAAAAATGTCATCCTGTTTGTTCTCATCCATTATTTTTTCCCTTATTCATTTGTAAGACAGACTGTGCTGCAAGCCTGAAAGCCTTTTGGATGGATGGACAAGATTAACATTTCAACATCACCTCAATAGAACAAAAACAAACAAACCCAAAACAAAATCTAGATAACAACTTTGTAAAAGACAAGTTCAAACCAGCACAGTCAAGCTCAGATGCAAAAATGCACAATAAAAAAGAGGCAGCACTGCTATAGAAAAAGCTTTAGCAGCTGGAATGGATCACAAAGTCACTTTTAAAGAGCTGCTGCAATGAAAAGGCAACTACAGGATGTATTAACAGGAGTACCATCTGCAGAGCACAACAAATTTTTTGTCCTAATTTGGCAGTGGCAACGTGTCAACCATGTCCAGTTTTGGATAGTGCTTTTTAAGAAAGATGTAATAACTGGAACAAGCCCAGAGCACAGAAACAAATAGTAAGTAGCTTATAAACATGCTCTAAAGGGAAGGAGACTGAAGAGAATCACTTCTGTGGCTGAGAAAAAAACCCAAACAAGAAAGGATAGCTGAGAGACGACAGGCTAAGTGGTCCACTGCCCCACCCCAACATGAACCACAGGGAATTAGAGAAGGGTGAGGATCAGTAATGGTCAAAGCACGACTATTTAGTGCTTTGATTTACCCAAGTATTTAAGCTAAATATTAAGAAAACTTTTCAATCACACACACACAAGGAAATAAAATAAATAAATAAAATCAGTGTTAGCAGGCAATGTAAGGAATATCTGGGGTGTTCTGTATGGAAGATTTTCAGGCACAGACAAGACCAATTCATTCTTCCTGACTGATGACCAGATGACAAATAGGTCTTCCTTTCTACCAATCTGAGAGCACACTGAGAATAATCAAATGAGGGAAAACTGGAATGAAGACTTGCATCATCATTAGTATTATAAATTGTTTAAAATTAACGGATGCTCACACATTTTATACTAGAACGAGCTAATTTACTAAATAAAGGATGCAAATTTTGTTTAGTATGTAATTCAAATAGAGCATGAATTTGAATACACAGATAAATGATACAGCTTCAGAGTCCAGCTGAACAGAGAATATTATACAAATATTTATATATATATATAGTATAAATAGAAATTTATACAAATATATAGAAATTGCACCATGGCACCTTTATGGGTTCAAAGAGAGGATCTGGTTGGACTAAGAGTCTAGAAAACATTGGCATTACGTTCTTCCTGGAACTCCAGTGACTTAGAGAAGTCTAGGGGTGATACAGACAGGAATAAATATCATGTACTTCCTCTGCATTTATTAATTATTTTGCCCAAGTTGATAGTTTTAGAAGAAGAGCTACCACTTGTGGTGATCTGATGGTCATGGGTAAGTCAGCATTTACTTTTACTCAGGATCTTAAGTGTCTTACTCAAGAAAGTATCAGAATTATAACAACACCTAAAGGCTGGTCTAGTTTCACTACTGATTTAAACCAAGCTAAAAAAAGAAAAAGTAAATAAAATTTGAATTAAAAAAAAAAAAAAAAAATCTCATTTCCATCTCTCTTCCCTTGTGCCAAAACAAGCACCTACATAATAACCTGAGCTTCTACATAGATCAGTTGAGGGATCTAAAAATCTGGAAGGTCCACATTCCTCTAAGAGCAGTTTCACTGCTCCTACACAGGCACTTATTCTTTGTGATAACTGTCTGAAAAACTGTGCCAACTGAAATCATCCACGTATACAAGAAATACGTAGTAGAAATAAAGGATCCAAATTCTAATTCTGAAGTAAGAGAAGACTGTTCTCACCCAAGAAAACTCGGAAACAATAAACAATTAACTTCCATTAGCCTTGTTTTACAGCAAGCAACAACAAATCAAGGATTAACTGTATGACTAAATTCCACCCATATGATACTTTACTGAAGATCATCATCTTTAGCTTTCCCAGCCTCTTCCTCTACAACAACAAAGTACAACTTCAGACAGCGGCATCTATTTGGTACGGGCAAAGCTGCTATCCTCTAAATAGCCACAGCTGCCTAGACGGGTTCTGATCCATCACTGTTAGTGAAAGAGAATGTTAAACTCTGTTAAGAGTCAAAACTATTAAAAAACAACCCCAAAACCAGAAACATGCTACTTTCACAGAGACATTCACTTCACAGCTACCTGAAAACAGGCCTTGTGCCTTATCACAGGGCTGATACATCATCCCTGTTTGTACCCTGATGTCAATGTTCTGTGGCATATCCTAGTTTGTCCATGTTTGCTGCGATCTGAAGCAGCACACTTTCAACTGCTGGAAATTTATTCTGGAAGTCAGTAACTTTTACTTCAGAAAACTCATCTCAAAGTTTTGCTACCTTCAATTTAATCAAATATGGCTGGTTGCAAAACGACATACAGACCACCTATAGAGGAACAAATACCACTGCCTTCAAACAACTAACAGGCCTATCTTTGTGCCTGTTACTTTGCAAAATTGCACTGTTTCTCCCTCCGTTTTCATGACAAGTCACGTCTTAACCTCTTGCTCCTGTACTTAGATGGCTGGAGTCTTATAGGTCCAACATAAAGAAAGAAACTGGACCTAAAACTAAAGCGTCACAGTTGTGCAGAGATAAAAAAGAAGCATTTCAATTTATTCAACAGTATTACATGTCTGGTTTCATGGTGAAAACTGTGGAAGACACTTTACCCCCTAAAGACACATGAAGAACACCAGTAAATAGGCATTTTTGATTGAAGAATTGCAAAAGGAAGAAAAGGGAGGGGAAGGGGGGAGGGCATGGCTTCAGGCAGAAATGTATTACAGTTGAGTTCTGGCTTATAAACACAAGAACAAAATATGGTGGGTGTACATCCAACAGCTTCGTCTCTCACTGAGCTAGAGATACGGGACCACTACAAAACAAAATCCATACAACTCTTCGCTTAAATGTTCTTCTTCTTCACTGCATTACGCAATGAAAGTAACACGCCCAAACAAAATGCCATTGAATAGACTTTGAAATGCACATTTGAGCTGTCAAGAAGAGTTCTTTACTGCAGGGAACACACAGAGTAAGCTCTGTATGAAATTAAAAAACCCAACCCAAACAAACAGACGAAACCCCCAGTGATTGCATAAATGACTTTAAAATACGTATTGGTATTAGAGAGTTCCCTTCTCACCCCCCACTTCCTAAAAGACAGGCCATTTACACAGTAGCACCTCGAGTACTAAAGCACTTATAACTCAAGAGCCAAGTTCCCCTTTCCGCTGTCCTCTCCAGACAGCGCCCCCCCCCCCAGCCCGCCCCCCCCTGGGTCGCCCGAAGCAGCCCCGGAGCTGCCGCTCGCCTCGTTACTGTCAGGGCTGCACCACAGAAACACGGTCTCGAAAAGCAAACCGCACTCTGCGCTAGGACACGGCACAGCCCACAGACAGCAACCGGGTCCCGCTCGGCCGCACCCCACTGGCCC